GGCGCCCCGAGAGCAGCAGCAGCCCCGAGTCGTCTTCCGGCCACACTGAGGACAGGCCCGGCGGCTCCAGTACGTATAAAGGCAGGGCCTGCGCCTTAGGAGAGGGGAGCTGGAAACCTAGCGCAGCGCCGCTGTTAAATTTTTATATGCTGTTTTATAAGCATATAAGGTTTATGAAGGGCCTTTAGGTTTCCCCCAACAAAACTTCGTTATAAAAGGCGGGATCACGTGGCGAGTGCTGAAATTGGCCGTGAAATACCCACCGGCCCAGGCATGCCTGCGAGAAAACACCCTCCCTTTTTTCCCTTTTTCCCCTGCTCCGCGCCCAAGCCCGGCAGCTCGACCCCGCGCGGGGCCAGCAGGGGCTGCGGAGCCGGAGGTGGGCGCCTGTAAATTCCCCCTGCGAGGGCTCCCGGAGCCTTTGATAGCGAGGTAATCCGGAGATTTTTATAAAAACCATGTGTTGCGCCGGCTCGCCAGTCCGGGCCGGGATTCAAAGGCGTCGCTGTTTAACGATGGCGCGGGAAGCGTGTTGCACTGATAAAATAGCCCGCTTAGCTCGAGCAATATATTAACAGCAACAAATTAACCCAAAGTTGGCCTTTTTGTCCAAAGGAAGCCATTCTCCTCCTGCGCGGTGGCAATTACGTGCCGCCTCCTGTCCAGCCGCTTGTTACTCACAGCCGCTGTTTGGTCTGTCAAAAGCGGGTTTTTCTTTAGGTTTCCCCAAAGGGGGAGCCGGTGGAGCCTGCCCTCCACACGCTTGGGGAACCCCTCTTCCCTCCACCCCATCTAAGCAAGCATCCCTGCCCTGGGGGGACCTGATGGCTGTGTGGCCTTGGGCTGAGAAGGCCCGGGGTAGGGGCTCCCACCGCCTTCCCCTGACCTGGAGGCCAGGAGGCTGGCCCAGGAGCCAGGAGCTGAGGGCCGGGACTCGGGCTGACAAAGAACCGGCAGCCGCCCCAGATGTTAATGAGCGGGAAGCCTGGGGCCGGGGCTGCCTTTACAGCCTCCTCCCGAACCGGCCACCAGGTGCTGGAAGGTGAAATGTCCTTGGGTGGCTGTTTGTTTAGTCTGGCCAGGCTGGAGGCCGCCCGCTACCCCCACTCGGTTGCTTTGAAAGCGGGCCTCCCGGCTCAAACTTGCCTGTTGCTGTGAGGAGACCTCGTTCTGCTCCGGAGGCAGCCTCAGCAGCCTCCCTGGGGGCCTATCTAGGGAGCTGGCTTTTATCTGGGGCTGAGCCTCCGCCTGCCTCCAGTCCCCAGACCACAGGAGAAGCCTGAAGGTAGGGGTCTGGGGAGACCCTGAAGGGGCTTGGGCAGGGCTTCCAGTCCCTGGGGCCAGCCCCTTACCTCCTCTGGGGGCTCTGGGATGGGTTGCAGCCCCCACACCTGGCTCACTCCCTGCCTCTTCCTCCTCCCTCCACAGGTGGCCAGCGCACCCGAAAAAAGCGCTGCCCCTACACCAAGTACCAGATCCGGGAGCTGGAGCGGGAGTTCTTCTTCAGCGTGTACATCAACAAAGAGAAGCGCCTGCAGCTCTCTCGCATGCTCAACCTCACCGACCGTCAAGTCAAAATCTGGTTTCAGAATAGAAGAATGAAGGAAAAAAAAATTAACAGAGACCGGTTACAGTATTACTCGGCCAACCCACTCCTCTAAGGTTCCAGCCAGCTGGAATAGGGTGGGGGGCTTCATACGCGTGAGATTATATGCAGATTTTGCCCTTGACCAGGTCAAGGCACACCACACAGTGACTTTGGAAGAGAGGAGGTGTGCAAGAGAGGGGCCACTACAGGGAGACAGCCTCCAAGGGGGCGGCCCGGGACTCTCTTGGGCATCTGTGGCTAAGATCCCTAACAATGATTGGATTCAGAGAATTGTGCATCAACTAGGATGAATGGTTTGGGACCCCTGGTGGTTCATTCTTGGAGACTGTGGAGCGTCAGGCTGGGTGTGGTCTCCACCAGGGACTGGGCCCCCTGCCAGGCCCCTTGGAGATCGACCCCCACCCAGGACCCTCCACTTGGAGCCTGTCCACCCCCCAGGCATCAAGAAGCTAGTCCATCTCCAAAACCAGTTCAGCTTGGGGACAGGAGCAGGAGGAAAGGGGAGGGTGCCCAGATGTCCAGAATGGGGCTGCTCTCCAGAGCCCGCGTGAAAGGTGACTGGACTAAGGTGGCTGTGAGGTGGGAGAGGGCTGCTGATCCTTGAGGGAAAACAAAAAACCCTACGATTCTAGGTGGCGTTAGTGGCCCTCCACTCCTCCTAGCCACTCACTGCACTGTCTCAATCCTGAGCTTCTTAGCAGTTGCCTCCTGCAGCCCACCTAGTTTTTCCTAGCCAAGAGGGTCTTCGCCCTGGCCTCCGCTCAGGCAGGCCTAAAGCCTGCTTGCAGAGCATTCTGTTCCCCAAGGTGGAAGACATCAAAAAGCAGAGAGGCTGTGCCCAGGCGCTGGCCCCTACATCTCTGCAGGAAATGCCTGTGGAGTGCAGCAGCTTGGCAAAGCTTCTGCCACACTTAATGGAAGCTTGGATTTGCTCAGCAGAGGAGCCGGCCCGGCCAGCAGTCCTCAGCTATGAGGGGCACAAGTCCCCCAAAACACCCGGTTCCAGCACCACACTCTATCCTTCAAGGCCCCGGAACTGAGCTTGGAAGCTTCCAGCGACCTTCTAGGAGCTCAAGAGTGATTTGGAATTATTTTAAAAGATAAATATTATATTATATATATATTTCCCTGCAGGAACCAAAGCGAATTTTAAAAGATGCAATGTAGAGAGAGAAAAAGATGATGAAAATATTTAAAGGCTCTATCTGTTTACAGTGTTCCACGGTTAAACTCACTCACTGCTAAGAGTATTTGAATGTACGCTTCATACAGGGATGGTGTTCAAAAGACTTGTAAATAAAGAAACCATAACCTATTTTGTTTGAATACTTACTTTTTTTTTTTTTTGGCCATTAGTTGATTTCCTCTGGGGTGTCAGAGGGGGCAGGAAGGGGGTTGGGAAGGGTCTTTTTAATTTCTTGCAATATTTTGAAAGCCTTGGGGGTTTTCCCTGAGGTAGTTCTGCCCCACAGTGTCGGGGACCTCAGCTGAGAAAGCCGGGCCTCCGCCCATTGAACCTGCCTCCCTGTGCTAAGAAGCGTCTGGTGGCTCTGCTTGTAAAGGAGTGTTGGCCTGTCCTCTGTTCTCGCCCATCGCGGATGTCGCAGCATGTATACAAGCGACAGGGCACAAGGGAAATAAAGACTGTGGAAACTTGAGCATTGGGTCCTGGTGTGACATTTCTCTCCTTGCTCACCTTTTACTGCCAAATGTCTACCCCATCACCGCCCCCCCACACACACACACACAAACACACACCAAGGAAGGGGCAAGTTACCAGGCCCCTGAGGGGGTGGGGAAGTGACTTTGGATTTAATTCCACTAGAAGCCAGGCTTAGGAAGCCAAGGGACTGGCCAGGTCCTTTGAGGAAATGGGGTCCCAGAAATAGGGTATGTCAGGACTTGGAATATGGGGTTTCATCCTCTGACTGCCCCAGCCCTGGGAGAAAACCTTGGGCCTTACGTGGTCAGTGGATCTGACCCCAGGCTGGGCTCCCTCACCTCGGGACCAGCAGGACTGAAGTGGAACCACTGTAGGGTGCCCTGGGGAACCCTTCAGCTAGAGGGAGAAGAGTCTGGGTACAAAGGCAGAGCAGACTCTCAGAGTCTCTGAGGGTGCTTTCTCGCCAGCTCCCAGCTGACATTGCCTTTTCCCTTTGGGGAAAGAAAGATGCCGCTTCTTCGCTTCTTCTTTGTTTCCTGCCTTTGAACTTCTGCCTTAAAATTGGACATCACCATCACCATAACCTTGAGGGGCAGGGCGGAGAGGCCAGAGCCTTTTGTTGCCACCCCCACCCCCACCCCACCCTCTCCCTAGCCACCCAGGCAGGGCCAGAGCAGCCGACGGGGATCCAATTTGGAGAGGGGCCCCAGGCCCCAGGCCCCAGGCCCCGCTTTGTTTTATCTGTTTGTGTGTTTGTCTAACTGGCGCGACTGGGAACCTCGAGCTCAAAGGGGAGTGGGACAGACCCCGGAGATGAATGTCTAGGTTGATAGACAGACACAGAGGTGAACAAGGCCTTTCCAGAGGGACAGGGAGGGGGTGGGCAGGGAAGCCCAAGGTTTAAGGAAAGACTTCCTTTGGGATGGTTAAAGATTAACCAGAGTCTCCCAAGTTGCTAGAGAGAGTCTAGCCAGAAGGACTGTTCGCGGGCGGGCGGCGAGCGGGCGAGGGTTTGATTTCTGAGCCCTATAAAAGCCCATCCTCCGATGGCTGTGACAATGTGGTCGTAAACCCGTCCGGGGCCGGCCAATTTGCATATTTGGAATGCGCCGCTATAAACCCGGCTGGGGTTTTGCAGCAATTTCTTAGATGTAAAAGTGAGATCTCTTTAGCAGCGGGCTGGGCACATTCTCTCTCGCTGTCTCTGCCTGGAGCCTGCTTCCCTCTCCCGGCTCGGGTCGGAGTTCGGGCCCCGCGTAGGCGCCCAGCCGCCACGAGATGGCGCACTTCCGATCAATGTCAAAGCCGCCGGGGAGCCGGGAACCCCAGCGCGATTCTTGGCCTTTGTTCGCTCCTGATACTAAGAGCTGCACGTTACATTATTTCACTTGTCCCGCTCCCTTCCATCTCAAAAAAGGGGTGCTCTCCTGCAAGATGTGGTTGGTGCTGTCATTTAAAGCAACGCGCCTTCTCTAGGCCTCGCGGGCGTTCTTGGCGCGGAGAAGCCAGCTGTCCCTTGGCAGGGATTTCTTCGGAAATGTGTCCAGGTAAGAGGCCACAAGTTTAGCGATTTCAAACGGGCTGGGGCGGGAGTAGGGAGGTGGCCGATGCTTGAGCGGGGCAGGGGAGAGTGGCTGGGTTTGTGCGCTCCGGAGTGACGCTATAGGTGGTCAGCCCACCTACCTCCGCCTAGCTCCCTAAGGTTGGAAAGGGGAGGCCTAAGAGGGAAAGTTGACGATTTCAGCTCCTTGCGCCGCTAAAAACCCAAGGCAATCCTTCCATTTTGTAAAAGTATTCAGAATGGATGAGCCAGGGATGGGGGGCATCTAAGAGAAAGAGTCTGGGGGGTGCTGGAATAGGGGTTTGTGTTGGGGAGAAAGAGATGGCGGGACTGGGGAAAACAGAAAGTTTCTACTCAAACAATGAGGTGGTCAGCAACCGTGGTCGCTGGGGCGGTCTTATTCCCTGGGGCAGAAGGCGGTGGTCGCTGGTTTCCAACCAGGTGCGGACTCTAGGTCTGCCTAGCAGCCAGGGGGAAACCTTTGTTCCCCAAAAGGCCAAGCCAGAAAAGTGGCATTTGATTTTCAAGGCTTCCAGATAAGTCTATGCCACTATTTGGACGGTACCGCTATAAACCTGGCTGGGGATTTTGCAGCAATTTCTTAGGTGTAAAATTGAGATCTTTTGCATATTTTGCAAGGATGCTACCATTGTACTGGCAAATGCCTATATATTGTAAAAAGCTGGCACTGAGAACAAGCTAGGGTCAACCATCCCTCCATCAGGGTTGTCATAAAACAATTTCAAAATAATCATTTCACTTACATTTTGGAGGGCAGATTCAAATTCCCTCTTTTCCTGTATTAACATCTTTATTCCAATATGTTTTCATATGGTTTCTTGAGCTGGCTATTTTTTTCACAAGCATGCAGTGCATGGGTGAACGGGGGAATCTTAGAGAAAGTAAGTGCTGCCAGTGTGTGTGTGTGTGTGTGTGTACATATGTGTAAATTTTCACCTTCAAAGTCACTAGTCTTTGTTGAGCACAGGCCCCCAAAGTCTGCCAGAATAAGGCAGCCAAGGAGTGGGCGCCCACACGGCGCTCTCTGCAGCCTGAGCCATCCCGAAAATCCCAGAGCTGCTAGGAGTTTCAAAGACAGAGGCAGTTTATTAGGGACAAAACTAAGAATATTGCAGCTTAGGATGTGCGTGAAAAGGCCCCAACACTCCCCCTATCAGGAGAACAGGACCAGTTCAGTGGTTGGATTTAGAAGAAAAAAAAAAGTGGGTTGCTTTGCACCTGATTGATTCAAAGCAAATACATCAAATATCCCTGGAAATACTACTATTCCTAAAGATGATGTGGAGAAGAATGTCACTGCTTATAAAATTTTTTCTAATTCTGCAGTAAATGCAGGAATCAGAGCAGTCCAGAGTTTCTGTTAAGGCGGATATGTGAACGTGGCGTTGATTTCTCCTCTGTGGGCCAAAGCCCAACTCTATGGCCGGTCTGAGTCTCAGAAACATTCAGATAGAAACTGGTTACTGCCTACCTCGATCTCAGGAACTAGTACGTTTTAAGGAACTTTTTGCAATAACAGTTTGATTTTTGTGGTGGTTTGCAAAGGCTTTCTCAGGAGGAGGAATCCGCTGTCCGGTGAACTGCATCGCCAAAGGGTTTATTCCACTCGCCTGGCTGGCCTTTACTTTGGCTCCACAGCCATGGGGGAGGGGTATTACTACCAGGTAGAAATTGGCGATGTTTACTCCTAAATAAAACGTGGGCTCTGGCAGGCCTGGTTGAAGCAAGCAGTCACCGAGTTTTAGGTCAAAGGCGTCCAGAAGGCGAGGGAGAAACTCAGCAGCTGGGAAGGAGGGGGAAAGGAAGAGAGACAAACGGGCAAGCGGAGAGAGTGTGTCCTGCAGCCAGCCTTGCTGCAATTGAATCGCTTTTCTTAATCTCTGGAAGGGGGAGGGGGGCACCTGAGGGAAGCTGAGGCGCTCGATAAATGGAATAGTCTATTGAGCAAGCTAACACCTCGGCGTTATAGTCTGGGGAGTGTGGAGCCTTGGGGCGGTCAGGGATGCTGAGAGCTCCAGACCAACTGAGAGGGCTTAACTTGAGCTTCTGCTACGTTGATACCTTCTTGTTCCAACCAGCAGGCCAGTGTGCGTCCCAAGCTTACCCGCAGCCACTCCCTTGGCTTTCGGCGCTGCAGGCCCAGCCTGGGGTTGGGCGGTGGTCCTAGGTCAGAGAGGGGCTCTCACACAGGTTTACACACTTAAAAAAAATAAAGCAAGAAACAACACAAAGGAAACATCCCAATTGGTTTATTACAAGGGGTGGGGTGCAAGAATAATGCTGGAGAAAAACATCCAGTTCTCCCCAAAGATCGGGGAAGGTCCAAGTGCCAATGCCATGGTCTGGGAGCCAGGAGCCTTCTTGCAGCAGATGCAGCATCAAGCTGACTTCTGTAGCTTGGATCGGCATGTGCATGCTCTTGGATCCCATCCAGCCTAGAAGCCCATTTGGCCACCCTACCGGGCCCTGGTCAGACCAGGCCAGAGCTGCTGACACAGGGCACCGGGCTTGTGTGACCAGTCCGATCATCAGGGGAGCTGAATTCCGGGAGCGTCCCGGAACATCCTGGAGGGCCTTGGCTTTGAGGGGTCTCTGAACTCCTGGAAAAGGATGGGTCAAATTGTGGGAATGCACAGACTACCATTTTCCACAGGTCAAGAGGCGGGACTTGGCCTTAGTTTTGCAAAGGGGTCTTCACTTCCAAAAAGGTGAAGAAAGACAGGTTTAGATCATAGTCTTTCACTTTATTTTCTTAACCGCCCCTCTCAAGCCATCTATCCTACGGCCATTGGCCCTTCCCAACCTGTGGTCTGGGCGATCGCTTTCTGCCTCTAGTCTGAAAAGGCCCCAAGTCCTGGCCCACTGGCCTGATGGGGCTCGTGTTTTCCTCCAGAAACCTCTCTTGTTCTTGTGACCTACCTTCCACTTGGCAGAGCTTTCCGAGCGGCATGAACAGCAGTGGGGGCAAAGCCCAAGCTCAGGTCGCCCTGGGCTCTGCGGCGTTCCTCCGCAGCACTGTTGAGCACAGCCGTCCTGTCAGCTCCACCCTCCTGGCAAGGCAAGCCCGGCAAGGACCAGGCCCGTCGGAGAAGGGCCCGAGGCTGCGGCGCTCTGACACCTTTCTGTGCTCAAGTTCGTGGGCCTCAGGGGCTTCCCCAGGTTAGAATTTGCCTTGGTCTTGCCCCGAGAGCAACATGGAGCGTGAAGGCTGGTTCCTAATCTCCCGCACTTGGTTCTGCTGCATGGATGCCGCCGCCTCAAGACCCTGTCAGATTGGGAAGAACTGGCTTGCTCTATCACCTTCTCACTTTCCTCTCCCTCCGTTCTTCTCACCTTCTGTCCCTCTCGATCTTTCTTCCTCCCTTTCCCTTTGCTCCGTCCCAGATGCCCAGCCCGCAGAGTCAGTAACCTCGGGTAGCAGAGGTGGAAGTGGTTGGAGCGCAGCGCAGTGCAAGCGTTGGCGCGGCTCTGGGGCTCTGCGCTCCCAGTAGCTGCTGCCCACAGAGACCGCAACAGCTTGCATGTCAGAAGCCAGCTCTCGGGCTCTGTCGCCCGCTCTCCTGAGAGCTCTCCCTGGGTCCTCTCCGGCTTCACTTCCTCCTTGGACTTGGTTTATACTTGGAAGAACAAGGCTCCGTGCCTGACCAATCACCCGGGATGCGAGGGTCTCTCCCCCGCGGCGCAGAGCCCTGCGCGGTTGGCTGCCTGGGATCTCAGCGTGCAGCAGCCCCAGTCAAGGCCTCCGCAGGGGCTGGAGCTGGTGGGGCAGGCAGGCCTGGGGCATCCTGGGGAGCTGTAGCCCGCAGGCCAGGGGCAAGGCCGCGACCTCCCGGGCTCCACTGGATCCGGCCGGAAAAGGTCGAGTTTCCTGAGACCAGTATGAGGCCCACACTTGGGGGCTAGCGCCAAGGGCCCGCCGTTCCCAGTTGACTCAGAGCAGGTCCTGGCAGCCAAGGAAGGAGACCTGGGTGTCTGCTCAGCAAAGGGCCTATCCCCTAAAGGCTGCCATCTCTGGGCCAGGAGCCCGGCCCTGCCTCGCAGGGAACAGATTTCCTCACCGTGGGCCCCCTTAAAATGCATAGACTGCGGGAGTGAGAGCTGCTCCGCCGGGTTTGGAGGGGAGGAGGAAGTAGGGAGGGGACAGGAGCAGGAGTGCGGTGACACTGGTTTCTGTCACATGTAGCCTCCAGGAGCATGCGAATGCCAAAGCTGAAGGGAGAACTCGAGAATACTGTGCCAGAGGTGTCTGCTGGCCATCCCTCCTCCGAATTTCCCCTCCTGGTCCTCCCTCAGGGCAAGCCAGAGACCCTGCCTGAAGACCAACGTTCCTTTCACTTCCCTGGAAGGGCTGGGAGCCCGACAGGGTGATGGGGCTGGGGGTGCCTGGACTTGGACTCAGAGTGGAATTGGAGAAGTCTTTCAGGTTGCCAGTTCCTTCCACAACCCCCACTCATGCTAGCCCACCAAGGTCCACCCAGGAGCAAGCCGGGTGTGGGCACCAGAGGCCAAGAGCCCAACTAGACCCACAGACTGGCAGAGGAGAGTACAGGGGGCCAGGGCATTACACTTTGGGGGAAATTCTGTGTGGGATGCAAACATTAAGCGGTCATTGCCAGCTTCCAGTCGCTCTGGACTTCAGGCACTCACTCTGAGGGTCCTGGTGGCCTAGGGCCAGGTCTGCCACTTTGGGGAGACAGCTCCAGACCTGAATGGGGAGAGCTTGAGGCCCTGAGAGGACCCCTCGGTGTTTTAGAGTGGACGGAGAGCTAGTGGCAAATTCCGAAATAAGGAAGGGGAGCACCCAAGGCGGGCCAGGGTGCACGCCATAAGCACCCCGCTGGTTCACAGCGCGGGGCCGCAGGACCCTGCAAACACAGTTCCAAAGAGGGTTCAAGTCAGGGCAGGGGCTGGGCGAGCCCCAGGGCCAGGTTCCTCCCTCGACCCCGGCCACTTCGGGGCGGCCCCCGCAGCTCCCGGCCTTGGGGCTGAGGTATTGGGTGTGCGTCTCGCGGTCCGTCAATACAGATTACATATTTATATCAATCGCGGGCTCGGAGGGCGCCCTGGGAGAGCGGCCCCAAGCCTACGAAATCAAACTGGGAGTGGTCGCGCGGCCACGCTGGCTCAGGATTGGCTGCGGGCGCCCGCCGCGGTGCGGGGGGATTGCTAATCGTATTCAGCATGTTTTGCACAAGAAATGTCAGCCAGAAAGGGCTATCTGCTCCCTTCGCCAAATTATCCCACAACAATGTCATGCTCGGAGAGCCCCGCCGCGAACTCTTTTTTGGTCGACTCGCTCATCAGCTCCGGCAGAGTGGAGCCTGGCGGCGGCGGCGGCGGCACGGGGGGCGGCGGCTACTTCGCCCACGGCGGGGTCTACCT